TGTGGTATCGTTCTAATAAAAATTTTCTTTTGTCTGTTGTTTTATACGAAAAACCAATATCTTTTAAGATTTTGGTTAAAGCGGTTTTACCCCCGCTAAACAGTCCAGCTTCTCTTAACGGTACCAAAAGCTTCTTCCTGTTGAGATATTCATTTCTGGAATAGTAACCATATATATGATTTCTGATTGCATCGGCGTCAAAGGTATCAATATCTGTCACGGGTTTAGTTCTACGTTTCTTCTTCGGAGTACGTAAAATATTATGTTCCGTGCCAGTAGAGCCGAACTTTTCTTTATTAATATTTGTTATCATTCGTTTGCTAACTCCAAGCGCCTGAGAGACGCGTTCTTGTACTTGTTCGAAAGGTAACAGGGGTTCGACATTTTGTTTTAGCACGTTTAGGCATTATTATGCACCAAAAGTAAAAATAACGCAATACAAAACACAATCGAAGTCCGATTTAGCGCCGATGTCAGTTTTAAAAGCAGAAATAGTCCATTAAACGAAAGCTGGGTAATCAAATAAAAACAGATCGAAAACACTTGAAGAACGGGGTCTATGCGCACGAAACGACAACAGACGACTGTTTTAGCGTCACAAAATGGCGGCCCATAACGCCATTTGGGGTTACCATTTTCAACCAAATTCCGTTCGGTTTGGTCGTAGTTTTATTTTTATATTTAATAAAAGTTATCTTATAGTCCATTATTTTCAAATTCTTTAAAAGAAAAACAAAACGTATTATTTTATAAAGTATAACTGTATAAGAACAGATTACGATACTGTTATTGCCTGTTATCGTTAGCACAGCACTACAAATATAAAGCGCTGACATAACCTTGTAATAGCGCGGTATAGATTTAGAAAAATATTGTTTACCAAGTTATTTGACACTCAGTTTGGCACAAAATTATAACATGCATTGATTATTGATATGTTGTTTTAATGCTCATCAATTGTTAAAACGGTAAACAACCAGCAAAAATATTTTTAAAGTAACTGCAACGCCATTACAAAGTTACGTCGTCAGTTCAATCGCGACGTGTCAGGAACACATTCTCTGAACAGCCGAACTATATCACTCTAAGTCTAATTACTCTATGGGTACCACGTTTAAATCAGATTTTTGCATCGTCATCCGAATTTGAGCTATTTTCATTTCAAGTTTTCAGCTCACCAGGAAATTAGTTAAAAATCAAAAACTAAATTCCACCCGGAACAACAGACAGACAAACAAGAAAGTGACTTAATAAAGACGTGATAAACAAGTTATTTTATTTTTAAATTCTGTACTAAAGATTTATTTCATACTAGCTTTTTACCTTCGCTCGCGAGGGATTGAATTTATAAACATCAATAATACTATTTCGTACTAAAATTAGTAAAACTAGATCACTTTTTAGAGATCTGTGTCTATATTGGCAATATTATAAGCTACAGAAAGACATAAGTTAGTTTATCGCATAAATATCATACGTCAAGCAACGATGAAGGGAAATTGTCCCGGACTCAAAAATGATTTATTTACATAATATTCCTTATTAAAGTTGATATAGTTTTGATAAAATAAGGTTTAACTTCATGGTCTTTATTAATATTGGTCTCATTGAATATTGATTACACCACACGCCAGTATTTTTTTACGTTCGAGTAGACATCATAATGTAATAAATGTAGTTCTATTCACGGTGCACGTGTGAAAAGAACAAAATTCATGAACAGGAGTAGAAATCTACATAGGATGGGCAACAGCATCTTCCTTTATAGTTCAAAATAATATAAATATGCAGTTGACAACTCGCATGCCAATCGGAGCAACTATGGCAAATATCCAAATTATTTGGCGGGAATTTTGTGGTAGTAGAAATAATATATTAGCCATGTAGAGGCAGGCGGTGAAAAAAAAACCACTACCCCATTTCCGTCCCGTGGGTGTCTTAAGAGGTGACAAAGGGAAACTGAAACAGGAGATGGGTAGCATTTTCTTGATAACAGCGCAAAGTAATAAAGAGCTGCGGTTGCCAACGCACTTGCCAAGCGTGAATACTACAGCAAATACCCGGTCTATTTGATATACAATGGGAGAAGTCTATGATCAGCAGTGAATAGCCCTATTAAAAGTAAAAAGTAGCAGCCTAATTAAATCCCACTACTGGACACAATCCAAAGCGAGTTTTAGGTAGAACTTCACATACCTATACCTAAAAATAATTTCCGAAATATTTTTTTAACTTCTCAGATATGCAGGTTTCCTTGCGATGTTTTTCTTTACCACCGAGAACGTGGTAAGTCGAAACTTCATTCTGCAGTTAAAATATGAGTGGAGTCGACGTAGATCTAGCTTGAGTTGCTTACGTATCTATTAAAACTTTTTATAAATTAGAAATTAAACGTAGAAGCATCCTTAATGTTATGATTTTTAATAGATGTCACTATTATCTATTTAAGTAGTAATTAGTTACTATTAAATTTATTTATGTCTATTAAAATGAAATAACAAAAACTAAATGTACATACGAATACGAATACGAATTTATAAATTAATTATGAATTGAAATAAATCGCTATAAAAATGTAAGTAATTTAAATTATTTAGTTTATTAGTAAGTGATGGCAAAATGTCACTACTTTTTGTGTTTTACGTTAGATGGCGTTGTCTTGAAAAAGTGAACCCAACAATAATACCGTTCAATAGTAATAATAGAATTACAGACATGACTTTTCTACAGATTTATTATATGTATAGATTCCTTCATTGTTATCCGTTTCTGAGCTAATTTCAAGTCTCTTGGTTTTCGGAAAGTGCTCGAAATATGAGTTGTAGGATTCCACTCGGAACTATAGACAGACAGACAATCAAACAAGAAAGTGACTTAATAAAAACGTGGTAAAATATTAAAACTCTACCATGGTGCCACCTATAGGGTCTAGATTTTGTGGTTTTCTTTTTGGACATTTAGCCAACATAAGGTACATCATACCCCCTATCAGATCCAACCATAGCTATGAACCATCATCTCGACAAAACAAACACTTATGTTGTGTTAATATTTCAAGTCGTTGAGAAGTTCCACGAGCACTAACAGACCAACAATTATACATACATATAAAGATAAATAACAAGTAGTTTTTCTTTTTTATAGAATCAACGTGGCGTTTTGCAATGGAGGGTGTACAATGAAGAAAATAGATTAGTTTTGTGTTATTCAGTACTAGTACAAACACAGAGCCGTGTGCAGAAATTTATTCGTCGACATTTGGAAAGCGAAGCATTAAACTCTATGTCATTTGTGAGGGACACTAAAGACGGTACAATCAACCAGTATACAACAAATAACGAAACTATTTTCCAAAGAAAATTGTAGGTCATTATTTCAAAAGTTGAAAAGTTAAATAAAAAACAATCAGTCAGTGTATGTATGTAGAACAATAAAAAATATTTTTATTTAATTGTATTTGTAGATCTGCCTTTAAATAAAATGAAAACTTTAGTGCTAAATCCATTGAAGTAAAATATACTTACGCTGAAACAAAAAATGTGCGCTACTCTGTGTTCGCGCGTTAATTTTTTTATCATAGAACAAACATAGGTAGAATGACTCGTAGGTAATATAGTAGATTGTATTGTTAAATAGGTAAATTATATCGAGAACAATATTTAAATTTTGTCATTTATTTTGTATATTACATTTGCTTACTTAATATAATATTACATAATATTATATCAAAATTACATTTTAATAATATTTTTATCTAAATATTTTAAAAGGTATCTATGTCAAATATAAAAAACATACTAAATGTATGTTTAACAAATCTTATTAACATAACATTTAAATTACAAATATATTTATTTGAATTAGAATAAGATTCGTTCATAAATTCTGGGTACGCGAGAGTTAAAAATGGACGAATTTATACCACTTGGACTTTGATGTGGAAACCTAAAAATAAAATAAAAGGGTAATAAGCAGATTCAAACATGAAAAATGTGTATAATAATATATTCGTCCTATACTTAAGTACCCACAGAAATGTCGCATCTGAACATATTAATTTCATAATCTATATTCCATGACGCGAGATGGCGTCTTAGGAATAATTTTTTTTATTATTAATCTATAACACTTTTTTATTGATAAAGTATCTTATTAACCGATGAAAAGTAACTCCTTGGTTTTTATTGACACTTCTTGAATTATATATCTGAATCTGAATTTTAATATCTGAGTACACACGATGGTATATTTTATCAAGAGATTTTTTTTAAATCAACACAACACGTAACAACTCTACAAGTGCCTAGCGAGTGACTGATTTAGGCTTGTCGAATAAATATCGATACATCGATATATCGATATTTTCAATTTGATATATCGATATTTTTGGGCGATATATTTTATTACGATATATCGATATATCGAAATCAAATATCCAATATCGAAATTATATCAAAAACGATATTTTCTGCTTTTTAATTTGGTACTTAAGTTGGTTTTTAAGTTGACAACTCTGTCTTTAAGTCAATGACACATGTGACATGTGTCAGTTCAATTCAGTAATTTCATTCATTTGTGTATCTGACTAGGCTGTATGGGCTCAGATCCCTTTGCCTTCTTGCTTCGTTAGGAACGAGAAAATTAACCAAAAAAATTATTCAATTGTCATTGTCCGTCCGTTATCCGTAACGAACCTCAACGCGCGCGTTTTTCTGCATTTGAGTTGATTGTAGTCTACAATCTTACTAATTCAATCAATAATTAATTTGAGCATTCCAGTCATGTCTAGTGTTGTATGGAACTTTTTTTAAAAAGTAGACAAACAAAACGTTTCATGTAATCTGTGTGGAAAAAGATATAAAACCAGTGGCAATACGACGAATTTAGTTACACATCTAAAAAATAAGCATCACCATGCGTTTCTCCAACTTAAAAATAAAAACGCAAGGTCGTCAAGTGAAGTGGATGATATTACACCAAGTTCCTTAGAACCTAAACGAATGACAACAAGAACCAGTTCGCCCGTTCCGTCTACTAGTTCATCTATTACTAATGAACCTGCTAAGACAGAAAATAACTTCATGGAATTGTCTGAATCTGCAATTTACGATGATACTGGTGTAAGTATTTGTGCAAGGCCAAACGTAGCTTTAAACTTTAGAGCCTGTAGAATGTAAATATCATTCGTTAATCTTTTATAACTAATAACTAGTCAACTAATGATGTGTGATTACTAAAAGTATCGATATCGATAAATTTATATTTTAGTGTTTTTACTTAAACTTATGTCGTTACGTATTTATGTCGGCAATAGTAATGAAATATGTGCAAAATGTTCAATGAAATTTTTCAGACTGAATCCTCCATAGATGGTGGTCGTCAAAGTAAAGACTTGTGGAAACAAACTACACTCATAGATATGTTTGATAGAAGTTCAAGTTATGAAGGTGTTTTTTATTGATATCAGATTATTTCATTGTTTATATTTTAGTTCTACGAGTAGGTTCTCATTTTATTATATTTTTCAATTTAGCAAGGGGTCAAAAAACTAGCCAAATAAATCAAGCTCTGAAAAACCTGGATTGAAAAGATTTATGAGTGTCGTTTGTCCACGCTATAAGGTTTCATCTCGAACTACTGTAAGCAAAGTATACCTAATATTAAATTATTATCTTATCTTTTTTATTTTCAAATGTTATTTTTTTATTCATTCCTTATTACAGATAACTGGCTTCATGGAACAACGATATGCCACTCCTAAATCCATTATAAAACAAAAATTAAGTGAGAAAAATAATATTGCTTTAACAAGTGACATATTAACTCTTACCAACTCGACACGAAGTTTCATCGTAGTGACAGCGCATTTCCTTAACACGGAGTGATAACTGCACTCCTGAGCATGAAATGGTGACATTGACAGCACGGAGAATGTATCAGGTAAAAAAAGTATAAAATAAATGCATCAAATTATAAAAAATAAAATAAATAGTAAGTTATAATAAATTTAATGAAGTGGACTAATATTGGTCTTCTTTCCTACAGGCACACACAGCTGATTATATAAAATAATGCTTTGAAAATATTACCGAAGAGTTCACAATAGAAAAGGATTGCATTTTATCAATCACCACTGATGGTGGTGCTAACATGGTTGCTGAAGTGAAACAATATTTGGGAGATGGAAAAAGAATTCCTTGCATGCCGCATTTGCTGAATTTAATAGTGGATGGGGCAACAAGAGATAATGGACCAGTTCTACAAATTGCCAATCGTGTCAAAGCCATCGTAACATATTTTAAATAATCTGTAAACGCAATGGACGATTTACGAGCAGAGCAAGAGGGAACAAAGAAAGAGGGAGAAGTGTTAACACTTATACAATCAGTAAGCACAAGGTGGAATTCTTGTCTTGACATGTTGGAAAGATTTAATACATTATCAGCTATTGTGGCTAAGATTTTGGCAACCAGGCGGAATGTACCTGATATGATAACTTCTTCAAAGTTAAGTGTCATACGAGATCTTATAATGTTGCTTACCCCATTTAAGTAAGCTACTGAAGAAATTAGCGGCGATCAGTACGTGACTTCTAGTTTAGCGATTCCTATTGCAAACTTACTTCAGAAAGGACTTGAACAAATGAAACCTTCCACCGAATTTGGTGTTGCTGTTCAGAAGAGTTTGGTAAACTAGTTATTGCCAAACTAGAACCACTAGAGCGACATTTACATCTTGCTAAAGCAACAATTTTAGACCCTCGCTTTAAGCGTATTCATTTTAATTCCGCTCTGGCTGTTTCCACTACAATAAGCGCATTGTCAAAAAAATACGTTTAGAACATAGACGTAGAGGACAATTATCGCCTGAACTCAGATGCAGATCTACTACCACAATACCAAACTCAGAAAATTCATCGCCGTCGCTGTGGTCCGGACATGAAAAAATTTTGGTAGATATTGCTGCAGCTTCAACAAACTCCAGTTCACTTTCAACCAGTGATGGAATTCCTAGCGAACTAAAGCAATACCTAGATCAGCCTATAATACCCAGAAAGGAGAATCCAACAAAATTTTGGTTTGATTGTCGCCATTTTACCCCAGTTCTTTCCGAAATAGCTGTAAAGTATTTGATATCGCCTGCGTCTTCGGTTTCCTCAGAGAGAGTGGCATCTGCTGTAAATCTCGCAGTATCCAATAAAAGAAGTCGGCTTACAGCCGAGCACATGAATCAAAGAGTTTTTCTAATGTCTGTATCAGATAGATATTGGTTTAGTTAATAAATAATTAATATTTTCGTTGTTCTTGATTTATTAAAAATGTTTTCTATTGATTAGTATTTATCTAGTAATGTACTTAAGATGACTGAAGTAGGTTAGACCTTTTTTCATATCGTACCGATATATCGATATTTTAAAATAAAAATATCGATATTGATATTTTCAAAAATATCGATATGTATCGATACTTTATTGCATTTCCGACATCCCTAGACTTATTAAAGTGCGGTGTATGCACCGCAGTTGAGTGGAACAGAGTAGCTGAATGCAGTGCCGCCTCTAGTACGTAGTACATAATAGCTCAATGGCTAAATCACATCTATTTACAGTTAATAACTTAATATAATGCAAAAAAGGGGGTCGTCTTAATATAATGTGAAAGAAAAGAATTTAAATCTAGTTAGTTCACCTTAGCTTACATTTCGCTTAGCAGCCGTTCACTGGCCCCATGGCGTGATAGTTGCACAGGTGAAGTTGTAGGCCGAGGGGTATGGCGTGCCGTCTGCCTTACCTGAGAAAAAAATGTGGTAGGAGTAGTCCTCTCTCAAGGAGGGGCCGCAATAGGGCAGCCGGTGGTGGTGGGGCCGTGATTTTGTGCGAAAGCGTTCCCGTGGGTCTGTCAATATGCTGCGACAATAACCAAATAATTAGTGCTTTACTGATTATTTGGTTAATATAAATAATATTAATCGACCGACACCAGATAGCAGTCAGAGGCGAGGGTCTGCACTTCCCCAGACATATAGTTCAAGAAACACTACAGATGCGACATGATGATTGGTAACAATACCAAATAGCCTGAGTCAGATGAAGCTGTAACAGCCTGGTCAAAGGACATTCGCCATAGCGAATATTCGCGCGGTGCGTCTAGCGACTATAATAAATGTATAGAAATGTACGGATCAAACCACGCGCAGTGGCGACTGGCGGCGCGGCGGGCGACTAAAACAAAGGCATGAATCAGTATGCCGCGGCGCAAGCCACGAATTTGAGCGAAAGACGCGGCGTTTTTTATAATAGTATAGGATACAAAATAGTTTAGTTGTTTTCGCCGCGAAAAAAGGCGGGGCGGACGAGCCGACAAAAAGATCTTAAAATTCCATCTGCATTGATTTTTTTTCTCCAATTTTGGTTGAATATTAACAAGAATATAATCGAAGGTTTCGACACTCATTCTGGTACTCGAAATTTTTTTCTGGATACATTCAATATTTGTTGTGGAATTCTCCATCTATAACCCGATTCCTATTCAAATCATATACTCCACAATCTCTGCCAAATATTGTCTTGAACCAAAAAACAATTACTTTCCAAGCAATATCGAGATAACTTTGATAAAGACATTTTGCTATCTGGTCAAGGCGGCGAACGTGACTGAACACGCCCGCCGCTTTGCCGTTCGCGCCGCCGATCCCCGTGGCCAGGCCGTAAGAGCTGCATAAGCTAACAGCACAAACATCACAGATAATAGACATGCAATATCAGCAGACAGCGTATCGCTGCCTTGCTGTATTACAGCTGTTTAATGTAGTTTTTATCTTTTATAATTTATGTATAACAGATTCTTATATAGCACGAAGATAAAAGCACTTCAATTGAATTGAATAAGTATTGTATATAGTACTCAGAGGTAATACTAAGTATACTATCAGTGGCGGCCCTAGGATAGTGCAAACGGTGCGACCGCACCGAGCATCGTCATCGGAAGGGCTCCGTAATCAACCGTAACGCTACCATCGAGCACTGGTCACCGATTCATATCACTAACATTCCATTTTGTTGACACTAATGAGGTAGAGAAGTAAGAAAGAAGAAAGAGTATTTTGTTGCTTACAAGTCGGTAAGGGACTCTTCGGGAGAAAAACAAGAGTTCGACCAAGACATGAATGATTGGCGAGGTCAATGATACCATAATGGTGCCAGCATTCACTTGTTTGTTCAACGGTGGTACTCTGGATGCCTATCCCGCACAGAAAAACTTAGTGAAATCGTCTTGTATTGTGGAATGAAACGTAATTTCGCTGGTCCAGCTTCGGGAAGTGGGTTGACGACGTCCAAGCATATTCTTTGGCATGTTTCTGTAGATGTACTGGTGATCTGCATTGGAGTGCGGTTGATTTTCCTTAGTGCTGTATTTTCCTGACATGATTTACATTTCTTTACTTAATTAGTGTCATATCACTATATCGATTCGCATACCTTTCCAGTAGTACGATTGTTTTATACTGTTATACATTCTTGTAGAGCCTAAATGACCGGCTATATAAGAATTTTGATAATTTCAATCGGAGCTGGGTATATAATATTGTTATGGTATATGTTAATTTTAATTTGGGTATCGTGAAATAGATAATGAAATAATGTTTTTCGAGTGAAATTTTTAGGATCTGTTATACCGAGTTCTTTAATTCTCTTGAAGGTTCCTAATTAATTTCTGATTATTTTTAACGTTTGACATATTTCTGGATAGGCGACTTCATCAAAATTATGAACTTTGGTAAACAATAAATAACATTTAGCATTTATTATTTTATTTCTATCTTTCTAAAGTAGAATTCTTTCTTAGACTCATGTACGTCGCGAAAATTTCAGGGTCAGTTAAAATTTCTTGATGGATGTTGAGACGAGGACTACCTTAGTTCTCGTCCCAAAATAACGCGGGGCACTTCATAAGAATTCAGGTGTTATCTGTACTGGTTCTGGTTGAGCTAAGTTAATAGGTTCATTTTCGATTTCTTCCCTTAGGGTATCTGGAATGTTGGAATGTAAATCAACGTAGGTTAGTAGAGAAGCATCTTCAGGTAAATCAAGTGTTAGATGGATTGCTTCGTATGGATTGAAGGAAGATGGAGAATATGGTAAGTCTATAAGATTTTCGTCTAGATTTTGACCTGAGTCCACTATAGGACGATTGGACGATGGTAGGTCTTTAGGTTGGACAGGGTTCACAGGAAACCGCGATAGTACGTCAGTGTTTGTGTTTTTTTTTGCCTTTTTTATAATTTTTGGTAAATGAGAACACAACCATTTGTATTTCTTTGTTGGCTTTACTGCTAATTTAATTGCCTTATGTTGGCAACATTTTTATATTCTCATTTTTTATAGTTTGTGGCACAGTAATCTATGTTTTCTGTGGTTATTACTAATAAAACGTCGTTGCATATTACCGTGTTCTACAGTTATTTTAATGATTTCATCCCAAAACATCAACATGGTAGCACAGCGTGGTTGATAAAAATCATTAAAAGTAAAAACGCAGAAAGAACAAAATCCGGCAGCGGCGTAATTGTTTCGTCACGCACCCGTCATACATTTTGAGATTACCGCATAACCTAGACCTACCTTGGAGCGGCGTGCTCGCTCAGTCACATCGTTGAAAAATTGTTATATATAAGTAGAAGATGATCGGTACGGGCCACAATCCATTTCAAATAGACAGACTCGTCGGAAGAGACAATTATGCGAGTTGGAAATTCGCAGTGGAAGCGTATTTCAAGCTTGAAGATTTGTGGAGTTGTGTCGAAGGAACTAATACCGACGCCAGGAAGGAAACAAAGCCAAAAGCTAAGCTTATTTTACTGTTAGATCCGATTAATTACGTGCATGTACAGAGCGCAACTACATGTAAAGAAGTCTGGGCTAGCTTGCAGCAGGCCTTCGATGACTGCGGGTTATACAGAAAAGTTGCCTTGTTGAGAGACCTTATCACAACTACATTGGACAGTTCTCGAAATGTAGATGACTATATGAAGAAGATAATGTCCACAGCTCATAAGCTTAAGAATATCAAATTTGACATTGACGATGAATGGCTTGGAACGCTTATGTTGGCTGGCTTACCCGAAATTTATAAGCCAATGATAATGGGATTGGAGAGCTCAGGGATCAAGATTTGTGCAGACTCTATCAAAACTAAACTCCTGTAGGAAGTTCAATGCTCAGAAAGCACAGCATTCTTCACTAAGAAGACAGCCGTTCTCAGGAATCACAGTACAGGAAAGGCTTGTAATCAGAAAGGGCCCCGATGTTATAATTGTAACAAGTACGGACACTTCGCCAAGAACTGCCGTGCTCCGAAGAAGAAGAATATTGAAAAAGTAGAAGAAAAAAGTTATGTTGCAGCTTTTTCAGCATGTTCTCAGACAATGAATCCGGACCTTTGGTATGTGGACTCAGGTGCCTCTATGCACATGACCAATAGATGTGACTGGATGTATGATGTAACAAGTCCACCGATACCCACCATAACTGTTGCCAGTAGGACACCACTACCCAT